AGCAGAATTAAAGCAAGAGCCTCTCAATATCACAGGCAGAGAGACGAGGCCAAATAGGTTATGATTATACCTCTACCTCCTGTCCTCTATTCAGTGCACACTGTCTGAGCCTCTCAGTCTCTACCATCTCTCAGGTATGATTTGTCCCTACTAATCTGTATTTTTTTTTAATTTTTTTTAAAGATTTATTTGTTTATTTATTTATACCAGCACTGGGTACAGTCAAAAGTGCGGGAGGGTGAGAGAATCCACCAGAGCCAGAGCGGGGAGCAGAGCAGGCAGAAGGACCGAGGTACACTGCTGAGGGGAGCAGCGGGCGGCAGGAGAGGTCTGCGTGCCATGTGGGACCCTCCTCCGGTGGCCGGGGAGCAGCCGGGGATCGAACTGGCGCTGCAGAGGCTGCAGGCAGCTTCGCAAACCAGCGCTCAACTGCTGCGCCACCGGGGAGGCCCCTAATCTGTATTATTAATGGGATACTTCAGTAGGAATAATCTGTAATAAACATATTACTGTAAATACAATTTTATATTTTGTTTGAAGTATTTTTCAAAATCTCCATGCTTTTCCACACATGTGAATTACTTTTCCCTAATATTATCAGTTATTAAACATTGATATATTATTTGCATTTTTAAAGTTCTGTTAAATCATAATTAAAATTTTTCTAGGTCAAATGTTTTAAATGTTTATTTACATTTGGAAATATATATTTATATGGCCCAAGAACCTAGATCTAGACAATAATACATATTATTTATGTATAATTATATTTATAATATATATCACGAGTAAATAATATAAATTATATACTCCTTTTTTTTAAAGATTTATTTATTTATTTATACAAGCACTGGTATAGTCAGAAGCGTGGGAGGGTGAGAGAATTCACCAGAGCCAGAGCGGGGAGCAGAACAGACAGACTGACAAGTACACTGCTGAGGGGAGCAGTGAACGGGGCAAGAGAGATCTGCACGCCACGTGGGACCCTCCCAGGCCAGCCCAGATCAAAGTGGCGCTGCAGAGTCAGCCGGCAGCTTCCCAGCCTAGCGCTCAACGGCTGCGCCACGGAGGAGGCCCTATTACATACTTTAAAGTAAAAATAAACAATAACAATTTAAGGTTTGCATTTAAGATTCTTTTTCATTTGCTTGATAGACTAATGCTAAGATTTCTGTACTATGAATGTTCACAGTAAGTCCATTAGGATTGGAAAGATTCGGGGTAGAAAACCAATTGCCACTGAACATAAACAGCATCTCCAGGAAGTTAGTTCTACAACCTGATTCAGATAATTAAGAGTTTTATTTTAACTCAGCTAGCATTTATTGATTATATAATATAACCCCAGGATGAAGACTTCATCAAATGATTTCTTCAGTTTAGTTTAAGAGTGCTCTTGAACTATGGTGAAAGTAGATCTGGATATGGAGGTAATTTCACATGTTTTTCAGTGAACAGTTATTAGGGACCAGTCAGTGTTGTAAAGTATGTTTAACTGCTGAAAGATGGCACAGGTTTTGAGCTTTGAAACTTAAAACTTCAACAATGTATAATAATTAGGGTTGTAACAAAGCAGTCAAGTGTCAGATGACACTACTCCTGAGACTTTTCAACTGATTAAATCAGGCTAACACAGATTATCCAGAAGTCACCTGTCCTGCTTAAAGTCAGCCAAATATAGAACTTAATCACATCTATAAAAGCCTTTAGAATAACACCTAGATTGATGTTAAGGACTATAGCCTAATCAATACTATGAGTATTACAGGATTTTGAGTTTGTATTACATGATTATAAGAGGACCAAAGACAGACTTTCTCTGACTTGAATTATATCAGGATATTGGTAGTGGAGTGGGCTATAATTGGGCAACTTAAATCTCACTTAAAAGGAATAGGACTATTGGGCCTCCCGGTGGCGCAGCGGTTGAGCGCTGGGTTGCGAAGCTGCGCGCGGCCTCTGCGGCGCCGGTTCGATCCCCGGCTGCTCCCTGGCTACCGGAGGAGGGTCCCACATGGCGCGCAGACCTCTCCTGCTGCCCGCTGCTCCCCTCAGCAGTGTACTTCGGTCCTTCTGCCTGCCCTGCTCCCGCTCTGGCTCTGGTGAATTCTCTCACCCTCCCGCGCTTCTGACTGTACCCAGTGCATGTATAAACAAAACAAACAAACAAACCAGCAAACAAATAAATAAAGCATGCCTCTATTAAAAAAAAAAAAAATAAGTAAAAAAATAAATAAATAAATAAATAAAAGGAATAGGACTATACTGAGCCTAAGTTTGTTCAGCAAAAAAGCAGCTGTCATCCACATTATCTAGGAAAGAAGAATACTTGGTCACTTTGTGGTTTGGTCAATGTTCATATTTTGTCTGTGTTCAGACTTAATTATAGAGTCACCTTATTTTCCATTTTGACCCATCATGGTCACAGAGTGGCTATCTGATACTGCTGTTCTATTAAATTGTTTCTGTTCACTAGGGAAAAAAAAATCTCACTGTGAGTACCAAGCCAGCTCCTGGTAACACCAAGGCCTAATTAATATTACTAGGTATTTCCCCAATGAAAGGGATTTTTATATCTCACCTTTCTTTAGAGTTTTACTCACCATGAGAAAGACAGTGCTGAGAAACTGTGGGCAATCTAACAGGAAAAGTAATTTAATCTAAATGGAACCCCACTGTCAGGGTATTTTTTTTTAAGATTTATTTATTCATGCATACAAGAGCTGGGGTGTAGGCCAGAAGTGCGTCAGGTGGGGGCTGTGAAAAGAAGTCACCAGAGACAGAGTGGGGAGCAGAAAGGAGGATCTACTGAAATACACTGCTGAGGGGAGCAGAGGGTGAGAGAGGAAAGGTCTGCTGCACCATGTGGTTTAGCTCCCTGGCAAGGAGCTGCAGTGGCTGCCGATAGCTTCATAATGCTAAGACTTAACCTCTTGCGTTACCAGGGAGCTTCTGTCAGAGTATCATTTAATAAAATAAAAACTTCGTCTCTGCACTTTGTTCAGCTGAACAATGCTGGGAGACACAAATAAGAAAAGGGACAGAGGTGCCCTGGGAAACTGGCCATGGGTCCATATGACAGAAGGGGCTCTCAAGAATTCAGGCAAAAAGACCCCAGCAGGACACCACCTGTGCTGAAGGCCCACCTAAACCTGATGTCCCAGCAGATAACAACCAGCAGAGACCAACTCCCCAGTCATGAAAAGCCCATCAAAACAGGTGATAAAAGGGAGCCCCAAATCCTTCTTGGCATAGGAACCTCTCCCATCTCGCCTGCTTCATCTCTTTGCAGTGTATTTCAATAAATCTGCCTTTTTTGTTCTGCACTCTCACTGTTGAATTCTTTCACCCCAATGCCTCTGGCCTCATGTGGGATCCCCAGCCCCGTTTGTTCTTGGGAATATTGTCTTGGTGGCCAGAGTTCCTGCTTATCAGCTAGGTATAGGGTCGTGCAGGGGGCCTCTCACCAAGGGCAAAAGTCCTGGTATGAGGAACAAACTGGGAAACCAGTATCTGCTGAAAACAGCAGGCAGATATTTTGACCAGCAGAAACAATGGAGCCCCCCAAGCAATAGCCCCTGATCACTCCATCCTAGCTGACATCCCTAATAAAATCTTCCCCTACATATGTACACTCCCTACATACTTACCCCACCTTTGTACCTGATTCCAATAAATACAAGACTGCCTGTGGATGGGGGCAGCACATTACTTCTGGTATAGCCTGACTAGGCCTCTCATTGCTTATGGACTTTGAGTGATCTCTCCCTCATCCCGTGTCACTTCCAAAGCTGCCACCCCGCTAGGCAATTGCGTCACCCAATTTTTCTCCCCACCACACTGCCCCTATCTTGCAACTTCTATAACATACAGAAAATTGATTTTTTTGAAAAGTATTTCTCCCTCCAATAACTACCTTTATAGCTCAACCCCCAGTCCCTCAGATATATCGGGAATTTTAATGTCAAAATATAGAATATGAAAACATCTAGTAGGTTAAAGAAAGAAAATTGATTTTTTTTTCTAAACCAAGTTATGACTTTTCTTTACCAGAAAAGTTGATAAGACTAACAAACAGGGGACCTCCGTGGTGGTGCAAGTGATTAAGCACAGTACTGTGAAGCTGTCCGCAGCCTGCAGCACAGGTTCAATCCCCAGTAGCCAGGGAGCAACCCACATGGTGAGGCAGACCTCTCCTGACTTGCCCGCTGCTCCCCTCAGCAGTGTATTTCAGTCATTCTGCCTGTTCTGTTCTCCACTCTGTCTCTGGTGAATCTTCTCACCCCCCCACACCTCTGGTCTGTACCCCAGTTCTTGTATGCATAAATAAATACATGTTTTAAAAAAAAAAATGAAAATCAGATGAAAGAGCAGTTACTGTAACTCACATTACATATTTTAAATCTTTCTCTTTCCCTGGTAAAAAACTGGGTCTTTGAGAGCATGAGAACTTACTCAACTGCGATTATCTAAATGGAAAAGGAAAAAATATTTTTTGGCTACTGCCAGCAGAGATCCCCTTGGTGAGTGGGTCAACTCAAATTTCGAGAATCTCATTTCTCTATAGAAGTGAAAAGAAAAACAGTTCACATATGGAGACCAGGGGAAAGGAAGTGTGTGGAGACTGTCAGGGAGGGTGATAAACTCCAGGTACAATTCTTAGAGACTGTAACCCAGAAAATCCTGAAAGACATATAGTGATGACCTCACTATCTATGAGACTGCTTAGAAATTCTCACCGGTCTCGCACCAGCAGGCATACACACATATGACAAGATTCTGAGTTAATATTCTCTCTCCTTTCATAAATTTTTCTCAGGTCCACTCTGAGTGGAAGCTGCAGCAGAACCTGGGGATTCCCCAAGCTCTTCCAGGTCCCTTAGAACAAAAGCTTCAAGTGGCAACAGAAGCGTCATACAGGAGACTTTTCTGATTGGTCAGTACCTGCTGGGGCAGGATTTGGTTGGAATATCTTCACATTTCTTCAGCTTGATTCTCACCATTGTTCAACTCAATCAGCAACTGCTGAGACCACTTTGAGAAGATGATGGTCCTATACAGAGCTCTGATTCTGGGGGCCCTCACTCTGACCACCGTGATGAGTCCCTGCAGAGGTGAAGACATTGTGGGTGAGTGCAGGTTTGAAGGGTGTGGGTACTAGAATTGGAAACAGGGAATTGGAAGAGAAAAAATAGAGATGGGCCTCCCCTGGTGGCGCAGGCGGTTGAACGCAGTGCTGTGAAGCTGTCCACAGCCTCTGCTGTGCAGTTTCGATCCCGGCCGGCCGGTGAAAATCCCACATGGAGCGACAGACCTCGCCTGCCTCGCCCGCTGCTCCCCTCAGCAGTGTATTTCATCAGTCTGCCTGTTGTGTTCCCCACTCTGTCTCTGGTGAATTCTCTCACCCTCCCACGCATCTGGCCTGTACCCCAGTTCTTGTATAAGTAAATAAATCTTTAAAAAAAAAAAAAAAGATTGACTTAGAAATCATAGAGGCTCTGGGCCTCCCCGGTGGCGCAGCGGTTGAGCGCTGGGTTCCGAAGCTGTCCGCAGCCTCTGCAGCGACGGTTCGATCCCAGGCTGCTCCCCGGCCACCAGAGGAGGGTCCCACATGGCGCACAGACCTCTCCTGCCACCCGCTGCTCCCCTCAGCAGTGTACCTCGGTCCTTCTGCCTGCTCTGCTCCCGCTCTGGCTCTGGTGAATTCTCTGACCCTCCCGTGCTTCTGACTGTACCCAGTGCTTGCATAAAATAAATAAATAAATCTTTAAAAAAAATAAAATAAAATAAAGAATTAATAGAGGCTCTAAGTGTATTCTCAATACTAAGCAGATCTAAAAGGTATGGCCGTTTTTCTTCAGGAAACCAGCATTCCAACCCACTCCTTTTGCTACTTGCACCATTGTGGGATTTACCAAGGACATAGTTCTGTTTCTGATACTGGATCCAGTGAATACAGCCTCGGCTTTCCGGCAGTCACTTATGACTGCCTCAAAGTGTAGGGATGTTTTAGGAGTGGATGTTTTGTTACCAAAAATTGTTACCAAATTTTTCTGAACAACTTCTGAAGCTTTTTGTCTATATCTCCTGTAATTTATCTTGGAGTAAGTAGTTGCATGAATTATGTATACTATTTAGGTAAAAAGAAGGGTGACTTTTTCTTCATCTCAGATTTATATACTACAGGAATGGCACAGGTAGGGAGTGGGTGACCTTTAGGCAAGTCATTTTACCAAACAGTCTTCACTTAATTTCAATTATCTCATATGTCACCTTATAAATAATTAAATAAAATGGCATGTAGATCTGTTTTCTAAGTATACACATATAAATTTTAATGATCTTATTTTAAAATTACTATTACAGATATGGCCTAATTGTTTTCTTTAACAAATAAATAGTTTTATTTTAAAATAAACAGAATTTTGTATGGAAAAATTTGGTGAATTAAGTTATATTGTTCTCAGATTGTTAGCCCACATTATCTGTACTTCACGTCCTCTAAGGGTTCTTATAAGAGGAAGAATGGGCAAGCGCAGAGTAATTATTTGGTCTTACCTGCTTGCATTTTCCTCCTCATCCCACCCTCTCTTCACACATTTCTTTATTATTATTATTATTATATTGTTATTATCATGATTTGCATTGTAAAGCTTTCTTTTTTCACAATAGAAAGTTTCTCCCCTCAGGTGCCTTCACACATTTCTTTATCCTGTTTTCCTTCCAGGGTCCATCCTGGCTCTTTTCCTTACTGTTTTATAAACATGCAGTATGAGTTTATAAAATCCAAAGTAGAAAACTGAATTGTTCAAAGGGGAAGTGGAATGGGAGTTACTCTCTTCTTCGGCATCATTATTAACCATGTCTGTTCCCTCTCTAACTTTGTTTGGTGCTGGGAATTTCACCTGATTCTCAAGAGCACTTCCAAATTTTATTCCTTCAACATCACATTGGGCACAGTTAGTACACTGATACAGGCCTGTGGTGCTTATAGGACTCCATGAAGATGTTTTTACTTTTTCAATTTTTAAATTTAGAAAAAAATCCTACCATTTAATTCAGTCTGGATTATATTTGACTTTATACCAATATGGTCATAAAGGATAACTTTTACTATTTTCATGGAGGAAGGGAACCACAAAGACTAGAGTGCTTGGGGCTCACCAGTCATAATGGGACTCCAGTCACTGCTGGTCCTGATGCTCATATAGTTCTGCTCCTTCTGTGTCCATCATTCTCCCCAGAACTTCTGTGATTCTCAAGACTAGCAATTGACATTCAATATACATTTTTGAGCATACAGTGAGCCTAGTATTAGGGATTGAAAGATGAGAAGACATGCTATCTGCTCCTTCCCTCCCCCCACCACCTCCCAGGGACTCAGACAAGTGATATAAAGAATATGCAGCAGGAAAGCAGAAGGACCATTACTGAGCAGGACAGTGACCCAGCTGAAGCTAAAAATATAAAAGTGAATTGGGTCAGCAGGCCTGGCAGTGTGATGTTCTTAAACTATAGGCAGCCCAAGGCAAATACCAGATGAAAAGAGCAATTGAATATATTCATGTTTGAAAAAAATCAAGAAAACTCATTGCAAGGATAAGGAGGCTTAGATGGGGGCCTTTTAGCCAAGGGGGTTATACTGGGCAGGGTAGAGAGTGATTCCTGTGAGGAAAAGACAAACTTGAAGAGCAGGACAGTGCATGGGAGGTCATAATGCTGTCAAAAACATGTTTACTAATCAAAAAAAAATAATAATAAAATAAAATAAAACCCATTTATAAGACATCAAAAAAAACCAAAAAAACAATAACAAACAAACAAAAAAATGTTTACTGAGGGGCCTCCCCTGGTGGCGCAGTGGTTGAGCACTGGGTTGCAAAGCTGCCCGCAGCCTCTGCAGCACCGGTTCAATCCCCAGCCACCAGGCAAGGGTCCCACACGGCGCGCAGACCTCTCCTGCCGCGCCCGCTGCTCCCCTCAGCAGTGTGCTTCGGTCCTTCTGCCTGTTCTGCTCCCTTCTCTGGCTCTGGTGAATTCTCTCACCCTCCCGCGCTTCTGACTGTACCCAGTGCTTGTATAAATACATAAATAAATCTTTAAGTTAAAAAAAAAACAAAACATGTTTACTGAGAGAACTTTGTTAACTAAGCAGATACTTCAAGAATGAATTGACGGGAAATCCTAAAAAGAAAACTTCATTTTAAGGGGAAAAAAATAGAACCAACCACACACTAGAGTGTTGTAGAAATTCTAGCCTTTTACCCAGACAGAGAAAGAACAAGTGGTACTTCAGGATGGTAAGGTCAGGAAATGCTTTATCACTCATGCATGGGGTCTCAGACCTCGGTAGCCCCATTAGGTCTGAGCACCCATTTAAAGACCAAGGGTTCCTTTTATACACAACTGTGCCCATATCTGTTACATTGATAGCATCGTGTTTCAGCAGCCACAACCATTTGATGCAAAGTCCCCAGACAAGGCAGGGGAGGACCAGCAAAGGCAGAAAGAGACAAGCACTCAGGATGGCTGTGGAGAGACAGACCAGCTTTGACTGGCTACCCAGCCCTTCTGCAATGCAACTTTGTTTAGACAGGAGTGCTGAGGCCCTGGCCATGAATCTTCAAAAGGCAGGTGCTGTAAGTAAGCAAACTTGTTAATTATGCCTGCATTGGAGTGTTCATTGCACCTGGGCTGGAAGTTCTGCTGGAATATTTATTATATTCATTTGCTCAATAATATATTTTCTCATCATTACCCCCTCTGATGCCCTTGTGAGTTCTTTTTCTCACAGGGCATCACCTATATCCCTTTTTTAAAGGGAACCCTGATTATTTACCCAGCGGCCATTATGAGGTGAAAGTCACAGGAACCCCAGAGAGGAGGAATCTTACTGGGTTGGCTACTGCAGGACCTCTTCCCTGCCATCAGTTTGGTCCTGGAGCTGGGTGGATGTTTTTGAACCACCCCAAATTTGTTTGCATAGAAGCAACATTATTCTTGCACATGCAGATAGATACCACTGCAAATGCAGTGGTGAACAGGTCGAGTCTTTGCAGGTTTTGGAGCATTGCAGCTGCCAAGAAGTCAAGTTGGCATTGGAGGGCTAAGGCTGATCTAATGAAAGCATTAAAATTTTACTTGAGTCAGCCACATGGCCCTTTATAATGGATTTGAGGCTTTTACCTCAGATTCTCCGGATGCAGTCAGCAGGCCCACTACAAGTGGGGTGGTCACAGGGACTCTCTTAGTAAGGCAAAGGCACCAAATTTACAACAAAGCAGAATTGTTTGTATAGAGTAACACATTGATACACTCCCTGATCACAGGCCAGGTAAGGGCCATCTGTGGCACAAATCTTAGAAGTGTGAGTCAAAGGGTTTGTAGCATTTCCCACATTGACACAGGACCTGGGATAAGATTCAAGGAGTTCGGTGATACCTTTGGAGGGAACAAACCTGGGTTGAGTATGACTCCCTCATACTGGGCAGGACTTTGGTTTTATGCAAATCCAGCAATCTGAAGCAAGAGCCGCGTTACAGCACGCAGTTGAGAGCCATGTGTGCAGCACTGATTATGTCTCATAGCTGGGACACAGGCATCTGTGGGGAAAGAGGGAAGAAGCCCAGGGGGGTAATCCTTTCCCCCTAACAGTAGGAGACCAGAGAGCTCCCTTGTTCTTTGTGGCCCTTTTTTCCGGCTGGGTACACACCCTGGCTTAATTGCAATTACTCGGTGTTTGGGAGATAAGTCCTCACATACAGAAGAGAGGGTGAGGGGCTGCTGTGGGACATACTGACATGACAAGCAGGCTCATTTTAGCAAACATTTGAAACAATTATGTCCACACACTTATCAGGTAGCCTAAGGCAAAAAGAAGGCATGCTTCTCAACCCCAGTGGTCAGAGGCCACCTCAACTAGGCCAACTGCAAAGACAGTCATTACAGGAACAGTAAAAATACAAACAAGAGGTCACACATGTAGAAGGTCCTCAAGCTTCTGCTGTGCTTAGACTGACCAGCTTCCCAGGTGTGGCCAGAGCAGAGCTTGATGTCTAAGGCTGCCTTGGTGTGTTGATCCATTTGTAGTCTCAAGCGGAGGGGATTCTCTGGGTCAGGGGCTGCTGTC